CCTGCGGGACGCCAGCCCGAAATGCGTTTCCGACTTCAGCCCCACCAGCTGCGTGAGTCTGCACTTTGCTCCCTTCGGGGCTCCGGGGGGCTGAGCCAGGCTGGCCTCTTCAGGCCTGGCTCCACCGAGCGCTTCTTCATGTGAAGAGAGGGGCTTCTGCCCCACTTCTCTTTCAGCAGGGCTGCGCGTGAGTGTAAGGCACCAGATGATGGGCAGTGGGGATAACGTGTGCCCCACCACATGGGGCAGAACAGCCTCACTACCCATTCGTATTAAAGCCAGGTGGGGGCGAGGTCAACATTTCATAGAAGTAGGATGTTGGCTCTCATGGTTCCCCTGCTTTACCTGTGGCTGCTCCAGGTGTTATGTCTGTGTTGTGTTGTGTCAGGGTTGAGGGTAGGCATGTGTAGAGTTTAGATTATGGCTTTATGGGATGATTTGGATGGCAATGACCCTGCCTCAGGCAGGGGGTTGGACTAGGTGACCTCTGGAGTCCCTTCCAGCCTGACTTCGCCATGACTCTATGAGGTGCAGTGAGCTGCCTACCTGACAGCTGGAAGAAGCCAGCTGCAGAGTTGTACTGCAGCTCTTTTTTTGTGGACTTGCCCCTTCTATTGTGTGGGTGTTCGTTCTTTTGCACGCATGGCTGGGCTGAATGTATTGCACCATTCACCCGTTCATGGTGTGATCTTTCCTTTGCAGTTTCAGTTTATTGTGTGGGTGACCAGTTGGTTGCAGAATGATATGTAACCTTGAGCAGGGGCCTTAAGAGGTGTTCGGGTGATGCCAAAGAGAAACTTGATGCGCCAGGCTTCCTGCTCTCTCCCTGATGCTCTCCATGCGCGTGAGATAGCTTGTATCTGCTGCTGGCCCCTCTGTGCTTCAGCATAGGCTCACAAACAGATTGAGACAGACAAAGCAACAGTGCCGGGTGGTAGGGTTGTTGGGGCTCCCTTGCATACATCATTCCCTTGTGTACCACTGGCTACTGAAGTGTTGGCTGTGGGAATAGTTGTATTGTTTGTGGCTGTCCTGAGGCATACCTGAATTATCCTGTGGAGAGCCCCAATCAGCCCCCTCCCCCGTCCCCATGCAACGCGATTGCCTCCACCTTCTGAACAGTTAGGCATTCACACATGGAGTGGAAGGTAGGAGTGGCAGTTTCTGGTTGCTGTTTCCTGGCAACCGGAGGAAATCAGCTGAAAAATTAATTCAGAATGAGATGCTGTTTTTGCAAGGCCACTCCTCATGTCAGAAACCCTGACCTTCGTCTCTCCATGCATATCCTGAGGGCTGTGGCTAATAGAACAAGGCTGAGAAAGTAATGGGGACAGCCACAGGGGACCCGGCTTCCAGAAAGAGAGCCCTGGCAACCTCCAAGCACCAGGGATTCTGCAGCCTTTGTGCCCTTTCTCCATTATAACCCGTCCTTCACTGACCAGTGCTGTTATGTTGGTTGGAACTCCTTGAGAAGTAGAGTTACCATCACTGCTTGACTTTCGATACCAGGCCCATAACTTGGAAAGGACCCTGAGATTCATTTAAACAATATCAGTGATTGTGTTACAAAAATGCAGCAACGTAAATTGTGTCCACTTCCATACAGTATTGTAAAATAATAAGAATTGTTCTTTATTAGTATTAAGAAGGGTGCCCCTACGGTGATTAAAATATTGTGTTGCCCTAGAGGTGTGAAGTGGAGCTGTGCTTTGGATTCATGTGAAAGGCTAGTTTCAGTTGACCCAGCTGAAGTAAATGGGTATTTGGTTGCTTGAGCAGGAGAGTCAGGAGTGCACAAATGTCATTGCTAGCCACCTCATTCCTTTGTGTACCATTGGCTACTGAAACCAGTGTGCTGTATCCAACACTATCCTGATGGGCTGCTAAGCTTAGGTGGATAATGCCTGCCTGACTACTGTTATTTTATTTTATCCCAATGGTATTCCTTTCTTACCCATTTATGAAAGGGTATAAAAATTGCTTCCAAAGCAAGTCAGAGAGAGAGAGTCAAAAAAGCAAAAGGTTCAAAATCTGCAGACACCAAATGCATAACCTGGCAGTCCGTACATAGAATTTCAATAACTTTGCAGCAGTCATAAAGGAGAGCCATGTGCCACAACACATCAGCAGGTGCATCACAGATGTGTAGAAATGGAGCAGGCAGCAATAGTTTAAACTTAGCTTACACCCAGCCCTTTTAAAAATCTCTCTTTATATCTGGCTACAGTCATGGCAAAACAAACACATTGTACTGCTATCACTACCTGGAAATGGAGGTGTAGAAAACTTTTAACTCTGGGGACTCGTTGGAACAGAGGGCTGCCAGAAAGCTCTCATACATAAATATGAATGTTACAAGTCCCGGTGATCTTTACTATTCATGTTCTGAATGAGATGGTGTAAGATGGTGCAGGTGTGTAAATGAGGACCCAACATTACATTATATTTATGCAGGGTGGGATGGATTTGATTTCAATCAAATCAATTTAAATCATGATTTAAATCACTGGTCAGGAAGCCTCGATTTAATCATGGTTTTCTACAAAAATGCATTCTTGTTGTTTAAAATCCTTTATTCATTTAACTTCTTGAAACTTTGCACTGTCAGAGAAAGGTAGTGGCTTGACTTTGTGTACACAAACTTGCAGAGAGACAAGAGGGTCAATGGGTAGGTAATCAGGTCTGTTATCTCTTATCTGCATATGCTGTTCTTAACAGGAATGTTATCTCTGGAGACACAAATCCAGTCCGAGAACTGAAACTAAGCATCACAGAGAGAAAGTCATAGAAAATGCTTAATGGGATCTTTTAGACTGAGCACTGAGTCCCATTGGGTAGAGTGGTTTCTTGAATCTTTAGTAATCTATAGAGGAGCCTCTGAGAACTCCATGAGATTGAGCCCCTAATATAGTCCATGGCCTGTTTTGACCTATTTAAGGTTACATGAATATATTGTCTCAACTAATATATACTGTAATTAGAAGTTATAATCCCTATTCCATCATGATATCTTTGAGCTTTAACATATTTTAAATTAAAACAATCTTTATATAAGTTGTTCTTTTTTTTTAAAGAAAGCCTCTTAAAAATAAAAAGTATGATTAAATAAAAAAACCTGATTTAAATAAAAAATCTTTTCTTTTTTTTTTTTAATCGTAGATTTTTATCCACCCTGATGCAGGGTCTGAGTTTGCTTTTTTGGTGTAAGTTCAGCCTTCAGAAAGAACATATAGTAGTCTCATGCTGCAGCTCTGTCACAGCTCTCTCTGCCTGCCTTGGATATGAATCTTTTTTGTCCATATACACATTGCTGTTTTCATTTGCTGATTGTTGCCAGCACCTGATTGCTGTTAATCACAGCAAAGGTGCTGTGGTTCTGATTAATGTGCAAAGGATCCATCTTGCTCAGTGTACTATCCAGCAAAGAATTTAAGCCAATTCTTAACTTTATGGGCAGTAGCAGTTCCATTCACTTCAAAGAAATTACTTCTGTATTGAAAGTTAAGCATGGATGTTAGTGCTTTACTGGAGTGAGGCCAAATTTCTCAGCACCTTGCCAGACCTAGTCTTGTGTGCATGTGCTGCCTGGTGCAGCATTGCAGCACTTGCCAAACATAATTTGTGTTGTGGTGTTAGTATTGGGTTTAAAGGTAGCATGAAATATTACTGTCTCATTGTCTGTAGTAAATACTGAATGAGAAAAGTCCTTATTAGATTGCTGTCTGTTTAATACAGCCACAGAGTTATAACTGTAGGCTTCTGCCCATATAACTGTAGGCTTCTCAATACTTTTGCCCATATGTTCTTTGGAAATGAATGTGTTGGTGATGTGTAGTGCCTGCCCCTGAATTTGAGACATAATTGGGAACATTGAGTGAAATTCCTAGCTACTATAAATTGGCACAGGTCTGTTGAAGTCAGTGTTGGAATTGATAGAGCAGCACCCATTACCGTAAATGGAGAATCTGTTTTTTTTAACTTCCAGGTATGACATTTTTACTTGTGTGATAGCTTGTCCGTTAGGAGTCAAAGTCTTTTGTTTTCAAGGAAAGATTTTTAAGTTGTTGAAAAGCCATTTGGAGTCAGGATTGTACCTGTAATGAATTTTTTAGTAGCCTAGTTATCCTTTGTAGATTACCAGACTGACAGTGTTACATCTGCTGTTTGACAGAAGAATAGGCTTCCATAGCCAATATATTTAACTTGACATTGCTATAGGAAATTACCAACATTGTCCCTAGCTGTGATGATTTCTCAATATGTCTCTATTGCTGTGGGAATTAAGCCACGGGAGTCCTGTAAGCTCTCAAATAATCAGTTTTCAACAAAGAGTAGCTCTGAGCCATCTGGCTTGACCAGGTGTTTTTGCCTGAAACTTTTGAGAGAGTATTAAAGAACTGTGGAAGCAAGGATTAACTTTCTTGAAATCATGCAGCAGATGGGTGGGGATAGTTAAGTTAGAAGGAAAGGCAAGTTCCAAGTTCTTAACTCAGTAAAAAAACAGTCATGTCATTGCCCAAATACTGTCCTTTGCTATTCATTTCTTGTAAGTCCTGGCTGGATTGCTTCATTTCCTACTGTACTATGAGGGGAACTATGGGTAATGTTTTAGACAGATTTTTTTTACAGTACAGCTTTGAAACTTTCATGGGGATAATTAGAATATGTTTAGCTTAGGACAACAAACTTAATTCTCTGATTTACCTGGAGCTAATTCTAAGTGGAAATGTTTACTAGTTAATTATTTTGAGGGAATGAATTATATTCAAGGAAAGGGAGTCTGTTGCCTACTTGATGCTAGTTTACATTGAGAACATGATGTTGACCTTGTTTGACTGCAGAGCAGTAAAAGAAATGTAGAATAATTGGCCAGGTTCTTGGTAGCTGTAAATAAATACTGCTGCAATGAAAGTTAGTGGAGCTGTTGCTTCTTACACCTTCTAAGGATCTGATTCCATATCTGTACTTAATGATCTGCTGCAATAAGTTTGCCACACAAAAAGGGAAAAACCGTCCTGACCCCCAGGAGGTTATATCAAAAAGTATTTAAAT